ATGCCGTGGGGCTGTGACCCTGCCCCTTGCTGTCCTGCTTTCCTTACAGGCATCACTTGGCAAAGCTTTGCATTTTTAATGCTCATCACCCAGTAGGGTTTGGTGGTCACGGAGTGGTAGGTGCAGGAGGTGCCATTTGTTGTTTAACCCACTTCCAGAGGCACAAGAACATCAAGTAACTGTGCACAAGGTCACCCCTGAGTCAGTGTCTCCTTCAGCATGAGAGCCAGATCCCACGTCACGCAGTCCTCTGCAGATCTCTGTGCTCACACTCACCAACAGTGTTCCTACAGGCAGAACCCCTGGGTCTGAGAGCAGCCCGGTGCTGCCTGCGTGGCCGTGCCCTGGGAAGCACTGCAGGACGAGGTCGGGTGCTGCCAGCAGCCCCTCGTGGCGTGGTGCTGTGTGTGCAGGAGGCAGCCCTGTAGGCAAGGCTTGGTTCTGTGTGGGCAGGCAGGCAGGGAGCCGCAGGGATGTGTGTGCCCACAGGGAAGGGTTTGCAGGGTTCAGAGGTAATGAACGCGCCGAGGGAAGGAAGCGACTTATAAATAATATATTTGATGTGTTTTATATATAATATAATAGCAGTAGTACCGGTTTATTATGTGTTTTTTTTTTTAAAGCACGGTTCTGTAAGGCACTTACCCTATTCCTGACAACTTGATAAATGATCATTACCGATCCTATACCTAATTGCCAGTTATTTCCCCCTCCACGGTTTGAACCCGAAGGATCCCCCCCAGAAGGGCGCTCCAGTTGCCGTTTTTCAGAGCTCTCCCTCCCACAGGAGCCCCATTTCCGTGCCCAGCCTCGCTGTGCCGGCCTGGCGGCCGCAGGCACTGCCACAAACAATGGCATTTCTGTCGGGCTCGTGACCCCGCTTGTGCGGCGGTGACCCCACCGGGGTCGGGTCCCGCAGCCGGCACTGGAAGGGTTCCTGCCTGCAGCCCTGCCTGCTCCTCCACCCTCTCTTCCCGAATGGATGCGTCTGTTCCACGCTAAGTTTGCCGATGCAAAATTTAGGTTAATCCATTTCCAAAGTGGATTAACCTAGCCCACACAAAGGCACTTAGTATAAAATAAGTGTCCACATGGTGAGGCTACACAGCGGCCGCGTCAGGCTCGCGCCCTCGCTGCTGTGTGCCCGGTGCAGGGGGCTGGCTCTGCCGCGTGGTCTAGCTCGAAGCGAAGGGAGCGTGAGGAATAAACAAAGCCCAGCAATGGGAAGGGGTTAAAACCCTTCCGAGGTCCACCGCAAGTCTCCTGTTCACCTTAAATGGTCAGGATTTTATTTTAGCTTCAGGGAGGAGCGGCAGCCATCGAGCTGGAAGCGAGCGCAGCCGCTGCCCTCCCACAGCAGGGACCCCGGGGCTCCACTGCTGCCCTTCAGCTCGAGCTAGGGAAGGGTGAGCCATGCAGTGCCCACGGTGCCCATTCAGGCCCCCACCCCACGGGGCTCAGCACAGCGCTCCCTGACCTTCTCCTCCCAGCAGTGTTAACGCACATCGCAATTGGACATGGGCACCAACAAGCAATAAACAGGGATGTGCAGTTCCCATCCTTGGCGGTGGTGAAGGCCCTACTGCCGGGCTTATTTCATCAAAATTCCCCTAATAGCCATCAAGGACTGGAGGCACAGAGCGGGCTGGGGATGGAGGGACACTGAGGTGCGATGTCCAGGAGGAGGTCAGCAAGCACTGCCCCACCGGGCAGCCCCAGGAGCAGCTGCAGAACAACGGCTGAGCCCTGCGCAGAGCTGTGTTGCTCACGGAGTGGGTGCTCTCCCTCTGCTCTCCCACCGGAGCGAGGAGGGGATGCGTGTGAAACAAAAGGATGCAGCCGACGTGTGGCCTGGGCACCGTGCGCCCACCGCGCCCGCAGCCGGGCGGAGGTGAGGAGCCGGCCCCAATCCCGGGGTCCCGCTCCCGGGGTCTCGCCGTTCGCCAGCCCACGGCTCCGGGACCGAGCTGGGCCGGGGCAGCGGGACACGGCCGAGGCGAGCCGAGCCGGGCGCGGCGCACCCCCGGGGCCGTGCCCTGCCGGGGGAGCCCGGGCGCGGTGCAGTCGCGGCGGTGCCGAGCCGTACCGAGCCGCGCCGTGCATTCTCGCCGCTCTCCAGCAGGCGCCCGGCCCTGGACATTGTCTCTTCCTCCCGGAGGAAGGGCCCTCCCCGGCCCTCCACAATGTGCTCTTCCAGGCGCGGCTCCCCGCGCCCCCCGCCGCGCCCGGCCCGGTGCGCCCGCCCCCCGCGGCCCCGCTCCCCTTCCCCCGCCGCCGCCTCCGCCCCCTCCGCCCGCGGCCGGGCCCCGCTCGCCCCCCTCCGCCTCCCCGGCCCCCCCCGGGAGCCGGGAGTGACGCGCTCCGCAGCGCCGGCCCCTCTCCCCGGGCAGCAGCTGGTTGTCAGCCTCTCCGGAGCGCCGCCAGCCCGGGCCCCCTCCCTCCGTCCCTTCCGTCCCTCCGTCCCTTCGCCGCTCCCCGCCCCGCTCTCCGAGCCGCGCCGCCGGGCTGGCGCAAGCCGGCAGGGCCCGGGCCCCGCTCCAGGTAGGCTCCGGCTGCGGCTCCGGTGGGGGCGGCGGTGCGGGGGATGCGCGGGGGCGGCGGGGCGGTGCGGGGCGGTGCGGGGCGGGGGCCGTTCCCCAACTCCGGGGCCGCCGGCGGGGGGAGGGAGCGGCCGCTTCCCCGGGAAGTTGCGGCTCGGCGGGGCTGCGGGAAGGGTTAAGGTTAGCGCGTCCTTCCCCGCGCCCGGCGCGGCTCCCCCTTCCCCGGAAGAGCACAAAAGCCCACAAGAAAGTGGGAGGAGGCGGCGGCGGGAGCGCTCCGGCCCCATTAATTCCCGGGCACCGGCCCCGCGCCGACGCCGCCATCGCCGCGTCGCTCCCCCGGCCCCGGCACCGGCCCCGGGCGGGGATTGCGCTGGAAATAGCTTCCTCCCTCGAGGTAAAGCCCTACTTACGTGTCAATCCCCGCCGCACGCCGAAGCCCGGCTGCCAGCGGCGGGGCCGTGCGCGGGGCCGGCGGAGGATTTGCGCCGGGAGCGGCCGGGAGCATCGGGCGGAGGGCGGCGGGACCGGGCCGGGCCGGGAGAACGCGGGGAGCCGCTCCGCGCGGCCCCGGGTCCCGCGCTGAAGTGGCGGGGCCGCGTCCCGCTGCCGGCGGCCGCTGTCCGCCCGTGCCCGCCGGACCCGGTTGCTGGCCGGCACCGCGGCGGAAGCGTCGACCGGCATGCAAAGCGAACGCGTGTTCGGCGTGGGGAGAGCTCGGTGCGGCGGGCGTGCGGGGCAGGGAGCGGGTAGGGGCAGGGCAAGGTAAGGGCAGGGGCAGAGCAGGGGCAGAGCCCCGCGGACGCTCTGCTCTCCTCTCCCTCCCGCGCCCGGCCCCACGTTCAGCACCTCCCCGCTGAACAGCAGGAGCCTGGAGAGCCCGCGACCCCCGCCCTGCCCGTGCGTTCGGTGGGTGATGCGCCCGGAGGAAGGGAGCTCAGATGTGTGTGTGTGTGTGCGCAGAGGTGATGGTCCTCCCTTCCTCTTCCATTTGTTGTTCACGTTGCTGATTAACTCTTCCAGCCAGTGTTTTGGGAAGTAGCAAAGTGCTCGTTCAAATCAGCAGAAATGTCAGTCAGTGAGGATGTACGTACTTGACAAAGAGCGCCCGGGATGTTTGGTTGGTGCGTACATTGGTGGTCACAGATCGCTGCCCCTCAGCCGTGTTCCCTCACACCGAGCGATTCCCAGAGCAGCAAGCACTCTGCTCATCATAGCTGTGGTACCAATCCTTGACCAGGAGCGTTTGTCTTCAATTAGTAAGCCTTTCTCTGTGCTGAACTGGTTAAGTTAGGGTCAAATCTGGTTCAGTACCTTCTTGGCATGTTCAGAGGGCTGGGTTTAAACAGTGGCTGAGATGAAGACGAGGCCACCTTCCTACTGGCCTCTCTCTAATGGCTCTGTCCCAATGACTCCTTCCCAGTGGCTGTTTACCAATGGCTCCTTCCAGCATGAGCTGCTGTGCCTGGGATCCCCGGGCTGTGCATCATCTTTGTTGCCCCTAAAGCGTCGCTGCTGCTGAGGGATACACACTGCGCAGCTCCTGTTCCGCTGCACCAGGAAAGTCCGGCTGTGGTGTGACAGGGTGTGTTTTCAAATAAAAGACTTCAGAAAGAGAAGAGAAAATAAACTGTGCTGACAACTGGAGCCTGGAATACGTAGCGTAAGGCACAGAGTGTCGGTGATGGGAGAGATGTTTGCAAGGCAGTCCCTGAGAAATTGAGCCAAGCTGTAAAGTAAGCAGGTTACCGATAGCCCTGCATGCATGGCTGAGGTGTGGTCACTGGAGCAGCTCTCCTGCCCCGTGCTTGCCCAGCAGTGCTGCGGGAGCTGCCCTGCTGCAGGTGAACCCCACAGCCCGCGTCCCATTGCTGGAGCCGCTGTGTGTGGGATGGGCAGAGAGCTCTGTGCCTGGGAGAAGAGCTTCCCAGTTTGGAGGGGAGCTGAGGGGTTGGGCAGAGGTGCGTGCAGACGGCTCTTGAAGATGCGTGGTGCTTGGTGGGACAAAACACCAAGCGTTCGCTCCGCACATGTGAGCGCCTGCCTTTGCCAGTACAAAAACATTGGCTGTGAGCGTCTGTAAAGCAGCTGTGAATATTGGACTGTAGATAAGAAGAGGAGCGAGGACGTTGTTTTTCCAAACCCGGCGGTGCCTGCAGCCCTGGCTTTTGGGTGTGGTTTGTGAGCGCACCCGCAGGATCTGACTTCCCTTTAGCAGAAGAGCTGCACGCACGCTGCCTGACCCTTGATCGCTCGGTGCCTTCGTCGCTGGAAACAAAGCGATGGGACCTGGCTGCAGGCTGGGGAGATCCCCGTGCAGAGCTGGGGACGGCAGGAAGGAAGCAGGCAGCGGCTGCGGGGCCCCAGGCTGGAGGCACAGGGTGGGCACTGCCACCTCCCTCTGTGCCACGCGTGGCGTGGGGCTGGGGCCGGTCCTGAGACGGGCGATGGTAATGGATTGTGCTCTGTTTTCTAATGAAAGTTTCATTTGAAGTTTGTTTACAGGAAAGAAGAAATTAGCAGAGAGAATTCTCCTGAGAACCCAGAGAGGAAAAAGAATGAGCTGCCTGACTTGCAAGCCAAAAGAGGGTGGAAGGGTAGATTAGATTTACCGTATTGCTCTGAGTCGTGGCCGTTGTTCACAAATTCTTCCTTGTTCTCCCAGTCGCTGAGGTTCGGTGTTCAGCACCATTGGTGGCATGTGGGGACAACTGGGGGCTGCCCATCTGACCAAGTGCTCGGTCCCACTGCTGCATTGGTAGCTTCGGAGCCAGGGCTGTGCGTGCCCAGGGTCCTGCTGGTAGAGGAGGCAGTGCCAGGTGTCCCAGAGCTCTGCTATGTGTCCCCCCCTGGGTGTCCCAGGGAGGCAGCATGCTGGTGGCCGGGGTGGGCACAGGGCAGCGGGGCTGCTGGGGCTCAGTGGAGTGCCAGGACGCAAGCAGTGCTTCTCTTGGTTGTCAGGGAAGGGGCACGGAGGGACAAGGAGCTCCCACGGCTTGGTGCCAAACAGAGAGACTGCTCTGGTGGCTGAGTCCCCCACTGCATCCCTGCGGTGTTAGCTGTGTGTTGCAATCCCCTGCAGCGTGCTTGCACAGGGTGGGCTCTGCCTGCAGACCCACACGCTGTTGGAGAGGTTTGTCCTGTTGGCACTTTGGGTGAGGATGGCCTTGGCTGCACAGTAAAGATGGCACTGGGGACACGGGGATGGCGTGGCCCGGCCCCACGCTGGCAGCCTGTTTCCTGCTGGGGGCTGGAGTGTGGACTTGGGAACGTGCAACATCTGTGTTTGACCTGAGTCACATTTACAGTTTCTGGCTTGAGTATTTCTAATAATAGGCCGACGTTGTTGCACCTCAAGAGAATGGTACACTTTTGTAAAGCCCTTTCCGCTGCATGTGCGTGCGAGGCATCTTTCGTGCCTCTGATTTTCCAGCCTGCACGAGTGCCTCTGGGTCGGGGTCTGGGTGCTGAGGCTGTGCCTTCTGCAGGAGTTGTGCCTGAGCCAAACCCTTTGGAAAGCCGCCTGGGGCTCCCACCTGCCAGGTGAAGGCTGTGGGCAGCCAGGACCTTGGCATTTGCATTTGTCTCTTAAGCTCTGACAGTAATCTTGGGTAAGCCTCGTGAAGGAGGCCAGATATTAGGATGGCTGGCTCCCTGTGACTGTGTGCAATGGAGACTATATATAGTGTGTGGCGGGGAGACCTGTGCTGTCCTCTCCTGTATGTGCACAATGGGATTTGTGGGGAGGCAGCGCCGCTCTTGGCTGGTGTAGCAGCCGGGTGTGCTGGCAGCGCTGTGCCCCAGTGCCCCCCATGCTCCCAGTTCCCCAGTGCCCCCTGCCCTGCTTGAGCTCGGCCATGGGTGCCTGAGCCATAAATTCCAGGAAGATCCTGGGAGGTGGGGAGCGCCAGTGCCCTGGGCCTGCAGATGTGTGTGTGGGGACAGGGAGAGGAGGAAAAGTCCCAACCTGTCCTGAAAGACGTTCGTTTATTCACCATAAAATCTGTCAGCCAGAGGCAGCCAGACAGGGCAGCTTTTACGAGGCACAGCCGTACGTTGGAGAGGCTCTTGCCAATTGCTCCTCACACGGAAAAGGAGCGGGCGGTGTATGTAATCTCAGGACGAGGGGAAGGAAAGAAAAGAAGCTGAGCATTTACAAGCCTGAGAAATGCTTCAATCAAAGGAAAGCACATCTGAAGGCCCTTCTGGAGGGCATTTTTTTGTGTCCCCCGCCGCCTCGCAGTTCTGGATGCGGCCTCTATCCGTTATTTTGGGGGAGCGGTCAGGGAGAGGAAGGCAGATAAAGGGACCGCCGACGGGACCGTGTTAATTTGGGGCAGCATCTGCTTCCTGCAGAGCGGGAGCTGGGGGGGGTGAGGGGAGCACCGGGCCCCTCCTCTCATTCAGGATCCCGGCCTCGCCGGTGGTGGTTTTGAAATCCTGCGGCTGACCTTTCCGGCTCTGGAAGCGATCCAAGGGCTGTGTCTCAAAGTGCTCTAAAGGTTAGTGGGAAGGGAGAGAGAGGCAGAGAGAAAATGTCCTTCCAGCTGCAGGAGTGGGAGAGAGGAATGCAATCTATGCTGCGGGGCCCTGGGGCTGCCTGGGCTCCATTGCCCCGCTCGGTGCCCCCCCGGCATAGGATGAACGCAGCTGCCACACTGGCAGCCCCTATGGCAGCACGGCGTGGGCAGCCCCAGACCCCAGAGCTGACCCCAGCCCCTTCCATGGGACCTTCCTGTAGCACCGGGCAGTTGGAGTCTGTGGGATCTGATCTCGTCATCCCCATTTGCTCCCCACCAGCGCAGCTCCGTCAGCGTTCCCTTGATGCAGGAGGTGGTTTGGTCTTAGAAGGGTCTGAACCGTTTGTAGGGCCGTTTGAGTGGAGCTGCGCCCTATCTCCACTCCCACGTGCCGCTCACTTGCCAGAAACACGCTAGTGTGGATGGAGATTAAAGGGTAAACTCCAGGGCTCAGCCATCCGCTCCTACAGGATGCGAGCTCTTTCTAATTGTCCTCAATTAGAGACAGTGCCATTGCTCAGGCACGTCTTCAGGCAGGAAGCGGCGCTGGGGCGTTCTCCTGGGAGCCACCTCACCCGGGCTGCTCGCGGGCTCCTGGGCTGCAGGAGCTGCGTGTCCTGGGGAAGGCTGCGGTGGGGAGATGGCAGAGCGAGAGGATGGAGGGAGGAAGAGAGCCCTGTGCCTTAACCGTTTCCTGCTTGCCTTCAGGATGAGACATCGGTGAGCAGCGAGGACTTTGATATGAATGACTCCACATGGATCTCAGCTGACCAGCATCTGAACTCCAGCCTGAGCCCCAGCCAGGACGAGAGCATGCGCAGCCCGCAGAACCTTCACGGCCAGGAGGATGGTGAGTGCCTGCAGCCACGGGAAGAGCGCGGCGCCTTGTGCTCGGGGTGTTTTTGTGGCTCATTAAACATTAACCAGTCCCTTCTGATCGGGTGTCCCACCTGTAGGATGGATTTCATATCAGCACGGGCTTCGAAGCCTTCCCGGTCAGCCTGCAGGCTGCCGGTGGCCAGGCCCTGCCCAGCTCTGGGCTGAGGGTTCTCATGGGGGACACGGTCACAGCCCCCCAGGTCCTGAGAGGGCAGTGGATTGGGGTCCCCAGGAGCATCCCAGAGAGCCCCATGGCTCCTTGCCACGGGAAGGAGAGCAGCCTCTTGCAAGAGGATCCGTGCTCAAAAAGCTGCACCTGAGGCAGCACGTGAGAAAAATGCACTGGGATCATGGAATGGACATGAGGTGTTTCATGGCTTTGGGCAGGTGGCTGGAATCCATACGTGGGCTGGGAGGGAGGGGGCCTTTGGTAAGGTGACGTGCTGTGTTTCTTCTGTGAAGCTAGTTTAAAAAATTGCTCGAGTAAATAAGTGGCAGAAGTACGGGCTCAGGTCGGAGTTCATCTTTGTGATGCTTGCAAGGGTTCAATGCTTGGGCTGCTCCTTGGCTTGTGCTCATCCACAGCCCAGATGCTGCTGAGAGGGCGGGCAGGGAGTGAGGAACAGCACTGAGAAGGGGCCAGGAGACCCCTAGGAAGGAGGAGCTTCTGCAGCCCAACATCTCCCAGGGGTGGCTTTGTGCAGCCGTGGGACAGGGATGCTCCGTTCATTAGCTTGGAGCCAACTGTGGCATTGCCAGGTCTCTGTATCCCCAAACTTTGCTGTTCTCCTGCCAGGACATTTCAGGCTTGCGGCTTATCTCTCACTGATGAATTCCCAAGTCTTGTTTACAATCTAGAATGACATGGATTGGATCCTTTTACTCAACACTATTATTCTACACGACAGTAATTTAATAAGGGACTCACGTATGTAAGCAAATCAAGATGTTCTCACTCAAGCTAAGTCCTCTCTCCCTCTCTCTGCCCTCTTAGGAAATGCGTCCAATTTTCTGTGCCCTGTGATTTTTGTTTGGAGGCAGGTGTCCTCTTTGGGGCCCTTCTTGGCTCTTTCAGTTTCTTTTGTAAGGCTCAGCAGTGAGTAACAAAGTACAAACAGCTCCTTCGTTTTGGTGAGGAGTGCACGTGAAGTTGCAACTGACAGAGCAAAATGGTAGGAATCAAAGAGAGAGCAAGCTGAGTTGGGTATTAGTAACAGAACTCCCCCAGGAGGAGCCCAGCACTGGGATTTCCATCAGACTGCTCTGTTTCAGGGGCTGTGGGACAAGGAGCCCAGCCCCATCACTGCTGTGTACCCAGCACTGGAGCTGTGAGCTCAGGGCAGTGCAGGGATGCGGGGCCTCTGGTGGTCTCTTCATTTAACCCACCCTGCTGTGGGGCTTCAGCAAACGTGTTTTGCCTTGTTTGTGCCAACTCACAAAGGCTATCCCAGGGAAGACTCCTAAAAAGACAGATGGCAGGGACAGAAACTTGTGGACTGCACCACAGAGGGCACAAGCAGGGCAGCATGAGGGCTCCACTCGGTGTCCTGGTCTCCATCCTCTGCAAATCCTTCTCTGAGCTGCTCCCATCCACTGTTGTTTAATGGGAAGGATGCCTGGAGCGTATTTTCTGTGACGGGCTTCCTAAGAGGCAGGCTTGTAATGAAGAGGTGCCTGTTTGGACAGCGGTATCATCTGACACGCGTGGTTAAAAGAAGTCCTGTTTGAAGTGCTGAAGCACAACTGCATGTCTTCCAGGGGGGCTGCAAGGGGTGAGTGTTCTCATATGACACATGAGCACAGCAGCATGGAACAGAAAGGTGGGAGAGCAGGAAGCCGTTGTCCCATGCTTTGAACTACAGGTATCTGCTGCATCTTCAGCGAGCTGAAAAGCAGCTCAGATGGAAGCCAGCACCTCATTTTGTCTCTGTGCCCATAAACCTTGGCCCCATGTAACCATGCTGCAGACAGCGTCAGCCTCTGGAACGTGAAACAGCACAGGGTGCAAATGAGAACTGTTGGCTGCAGGAGGTGAGGGACAGCAGGAGGCACTGCTGGGAGGACGTCTGCAGCAGAGATGGGGCTCATGTTGGCTTGGTGTCACTGCAGGCTGCAGGGGAGTGGGGACACATTGCAAGATCCATGGGTGCATTGCAGGATGGAGAGATCTTTGCAGGACACAAGGACACACAGATGCACGGAGGGACACTGGGACACAGCAGGATGCAAGGATGCACAGCAGGATGCAGGGATGCAGGGACAGGTGGAAGGATGCAGGGACAAAGAATCCATCCCCAAGCAGCAACGCTGACACAGGCGCACGCTTGCTTCTTCCATTTTCCTTTGTTACTCATCCTGCGGGCCCCAGCACGGAAAATGTGAAGCTCCCTGCAACATCCCTTCCCTATAGGATGTTACTCACAGTGTTTGTGCCCCGCAGGAAGCCAGTGGATACCCAGAGCAGCAGCAAGATCAACACAAACTTTCTGCTGCTGAAGCTGAGCCATTGTGCAGGAGGACATCCTGGGGGGATGCGTCTGTGGGATCCAGCACACATTCAGAGCAAAACACCCCAAAATCCGTGGCATCAAACTGACCCCATCCCCAATGTGCCATTGGGCATTGCCAGCCCCAAGATGGCTTCACTTGGAGCCGCAGCAGCTGGGCTGGGGGCTGCCTTCCCATGGCTCAGGGTCGGGTCACTCCCAGCAAGATTCCTGTGCCTGTCCTCCATGCTGTGTCCCCACTGATCCCGGTCTGCCTGGATCCGCTGCAGCCGCTAATCCAGACCTTGGAGAAAGGACTTTCTTAACCTACTTAATGATGAAGGCACGCTCGTCAGGCTGCCCCTTGTCCAGGACATCTCCTGGGGGCCAGGAGGAGCCACAGGGACGTGCGCATGGCATGCTTTGAGGTCGTCTCAGGAACTGTGGGGGTCCCAGCACCAAATCATCACACGGCTTCTGTTGGCTCTCTTGGCTGAGAGAAGGGCTCCCGATCAATTCCCACCACCCCAACACCTTGGTGCTGCAGGCAGGACGAGGCCAAGCCAAACGCCTGCAGCTGTGCCAGGGAAGATGCCCATGGCTGTGCCCCGTGCTGTGCGGCCGCGTGCCGCTCGCTCTGATGGCAGGAGATGGCACCAGGGGGTACCGCCGGGCCGGGGGGGCTGGGTGCACAGCACTGCCTTGTCCCAGCAGAGCGCTGTGCCCGGCTGTGCCAGGTGTCGGCTTGTCGGGGACTGCGGCCGGAGGCTGGGACCCGGGAGGATGGGAGGAGGATGGAGGCTTCGTCTGGGATGTAAGGAGGTTTGAGTGAACGAAGGGAGGCAGGAAATACAGCGCCTTCAGTGGAGGCGGGCCAGGCCCGCTGCTCCTCATCCCCCATCAGTGTTCCTTTTTTCCTTTTTTTGTGTGTCATGGAGGAAATGGGCCGGGCGGGACCTGCAGGGAGCGGGCGTCCCTCTGCACCCCAGCCCCCGGGCCCTGCGTGCCGCCTGCGTGTGCCTCCACCAGGAGCCATCCCCACCTGGTCTCTCTAATTTGTATTAAGTGTCCCTTCCTCGCAGGCTCTCCTCCTCCCCTCCTTCCCCCTTCTCGTCTCTTTTGTGAGTGAATAATTTATGGCACTTTTCATCTTCCTGGCTGTTGTTACACTCAGATGTCTGCGGGATGCTTTGAACACTTCTGACACTCGCTTGCAGGCTGGATGCGGAGCTGCAGCCCACAGCAGAGCGCTGGGCACTCCAGCCTGACCGGCCACAGGCACGGCCGTGTGGGCACTGTGGGCACAGCTGGGACACGGTGTGGCCTCGGCTTAGGTCTGGTGCTCTGGTCTGACTGTGCGGGCAGTGAGCCCTGGCCGAGCCCTGTCCCCTTGTCCATCCCTGTCTCCATACCCGTCCCATCCTGGCCCAGGGCTCGGCGGCCCCTGCCCGGCCATGGCAGCGCGGGGCTGCGGCGAGGTTTCCGTGGGCTGCTGGCTCTTACATAAGCTCATTGTTTTCCGAGTCAAAAGAGGTTTTGTCCTGGCTCTGGAGATGTGACAGGAGGAGGAACAATTTGCCCCATTCATCTTTAATTCTGCCTTTGGACAGCGGCGTGGTGGCCCTCGCTGACATAGATGTTAAACCCAACCACTTCCCTGCCGTAAAATCTCCCGGGGAGCAGGTGTTGGAAATCTCCCCTTCCCCTCCTGATCTCTGCAAATCCAGTGTCACAGAAATCAAGGATAATCCAGCAGCCTCTTCAAAATGAAAACGCTGAGCCCTGATTAATTCATTTAATAAGTGACTGATCCCTCCTCCCCCATCACCGCTACCCAAGAAGCCATTTTGCTTCTCGCTTCCCCGGGATTGGCGCAGCCGGGGAGGGACGGAGGCCACAATAGACTCCAGGCTGTGTCCCCATCCCCTGCTCTCGTGGTGTTGCCCCGTGCCACACACCCCACTCCTGGGCTGCCCTCGGCCCTCAGCCCAGCTCTGCTGAGTCCAAGAGGGGAATGAAATATTTTGCTTCCCAACCGAAAGATCAAAACGTCTCCAAGTGACATTGTTTTTACAGATCCATCTGCTTCAATTAGGGCGTGGGGGTGAAGCAGGGGGGCTTCCAATTATCCTCATTAGAGGGGCTCCTCGCTCAGCCAAACTCCAGCCGTGAGCAGGGAGCTCACGAGGCTCGTGCTGGTTGATAATGAATATATTCATGGCTGTGCAGCCTGGCTCTGCTCTACCGCTGCTCGCGGTGCCCTGCTATTTATTTGTGTGCTTTGGGCGCTTGCTGGGGGTTTGCAGAAGACCTCCCAGATGTCAGGGGTTCTGCATGATGTGGCTCGGGGTGCCATGGCCGCGGTGTTGTGGCCATACGTCCCTGTTGCAGGGTGTGAGGACGGGTTGGGGCCAGGCTGTGGCAGCTGAGAAGGAACCCAAGTGAGGTCCCAATCCCATGGATCTGCCCCTGTGCTGCCTCTCGAGGGCATCCCCGTTCTTAAGCTGGCTGAAGCCATTCCTGCTCTGATCCAGGGTCCTCAGCAATCTGGATTTGCGGCCGTTCCTCTGCCCACAAGGCAGATTAATCCACCACTCTATATGCAGATCTTCTGGGAAAGCGTAACCCGTATAAGTGTAGAAATAAGAAAAAGATCAGGAGCGGAGGGTTTACTTACATTCAGCCTTGTTTTACACTACAGTGTTCTTGCAGTTGGTACATAGGAGCTGCAGGAGCTGCGGCACAGCTGGGGGCCATGGGAAGGCTGCAGGGGTGGGCAGGGTGCCCAGGGCAGTAAGGGGTGCTGGGGCAATGTGGGATTGCTTGGCCCAGTAAGGGATACCTGGACAATGTGGGGTTGCCCGGGCGATTTGAGGATGCCGAGGGCTGAACAGGGATGCTCAGGTCAGGCTGAGGATTCTCAGGGCTCTGCAAACTCCTGTCCCCGGTGCCACCTCTCAGTGCTTTGGCACAGTGGGATTCTTGTGGCGGGGGCCCCGCTGCGTGCCAGGCACAGTGCTGGGGCTGTCTGCCCCCTGAGGACTGCCAGCAGGTCGCTCTGATAGCTGCAGGGCGGCCCTGATTGGCCATGAGCTGTTGCTGTGGCCGTGCCTGGGCTGGCGGCGGGGCATGGCACGCAGCTCATGCCTCCATGCAGAGGAATAATGCTCCCTAATCCTCCCAGAGGCATCGCTGGATGAGGCCAGAGACTCCCTCTGAGAGCAGAGCAGGGGGAGGGACGAGGCTCAGCCCCCACTGAATGTAGTACCACTCCACCTGCTCCGAATCAGCATGGAGCCTGCACCCAGAGCCCAGCCCCAGCCTTGCTGGCGGGTTTGGCTGCAAGCCCACATGCCAGCGCAGGGCATGCATGGAACAGAGGCTGGGGAGCTGAGCGGGGTGGGCTGGGCTGCTGGCTGCAGGGCAGGGCCCTCAGACATCCTCCATGCCTCCAGCCCCTGCAGGCAGCTGTGCATGGGGCAGAGACCGGCACAGGGACAGGGACACGGAGAGTGCTCAGGTGCAGAGCCAGCACTGGCCTCAGCTGGCAGCTGGGGCTCCTGCCTGCACCCAGAGCAGTAAGTGGGTCAGTGCAGGGGGGAGGACTGAAGGGAGCTCTGCAGGCTCTGTGGGGGTGTTCCAGTTCTGGGGCTCGTGGGGAATGGAGCCGCCTCGGAGCAGGGAGCGCCCATTCCTGTGCTGGGGTGGTTCAGGACAGGCACGGCCCCCGCGGGCTGCTCAGATGCCAGAGCGTCCTCAATCTGTTTATTTTAAGGGATACAAAGTCCTGCACTGCTGCAGACTCCGCAGGGGTCACAGGAAAGTTTGCCACAGCCCTCATTAAAGTTCTCTGCAGATGCCGGCGGAGGAAGGAGGAGGAGGAGGGTGGCAGCAGCTGGGCACCGTCCCGCACCCCGCGCCTGTGCACCTTTGGACCTGGCACCCATGTGCCTGGAGCTGGTGGCACGGTGCTGGTGCCGCCCCACAGCCCGACCCCAGCTCTGGGGGCCAGGGAGCAGGGCCTGCGGATCACAGACCAGGGACCAGGGACCAGGGACCGCCATCTGCTTGTCAGTGGCTGCAGCTTCTTTGTTCGCAGCACACACTTGCACAGGAAGCAGCTCCCCACGTGCTTCGCCCTTTCCCTCTCGCGGAGGCACCTAATGAAATAAAGGATTTACTGCAGTGAGGGGGAGGGCAGGGGAAGGGGCTGAGCGGGGACTGAAGATGTAGTGCTGGGGCTGGGCTCCCCGGTGTGCGTGGGGCGATTGTTGATATGGGAATGGGGATGGAAATGGAGATGGGGATGGGGATGAAGATAGGGATGGGGATGGGCTCTGCTGCAGTCAGGCAGAGCAGCACAAACAGGAGCCTGGGGACAGTCAGGGACCTGGGTGTGTGAATGGAAAGGAGAAAGAGAAAGCACTGCTGTGTGCTGGGAAAGGGAATGGTGTGCTGCTCTGCCAGGGTGTGGTGATGTGTCTGCTTGGGCAGTGGGGCAGTGCAGGGAGGCTGTGGCTGTGAGGAGAGTTTTGCCTTCAGAGCACCAGTAGTGGGACAAGGGCATTTGGGAGGGCAGGGGGAGAGTGGAGGAGGAGGGGACAAAAGTGCCCTGGAGGGACCCAGCGTCCTTCTGCACTGTGATGGGCAGCATGGTTGGCACTGCTGCCATATGGATAGCTCAGGGACACGTGGAAGTAGGCAGGAAAAGAGATCGTCCACATAGGGCAGACAAGGTCAGTGGGGCTGCAGTGAGCTGGGACAGGTCAGGTGTCTGTGCAAGTCCCTGTCCCCTTCCCAGACCAGATGAGGGCTCTGCAGGCCCTCACCAGAGTCCCCAGGCAGGTCCCCAGCCCCGCTGCTCCACTCCAGCCCTCCTCGAGCCTCTGTGAGCTGCACTTCGTCACCTCTGTTCTGGCCAGACTCTGTGCCAGGTGCTGCTCTCGTTAAAGCCATTGGAGACAAGGGATTCATGCAGGGAGAGGAAATGCCCCTTTCTCCTCCCTGCAATGTAAACAGAAACCTAAAAGGACCAAATTCCAAAGTTCTTATTCAAGCCAAGGTGCCGCAGGCCCCAGGCAGAGGCGTGGGCAGTGGGATCGTCATCTGCAGAGGGATGGAGGGACAGATGGATGGATGGATGGACGGACGGACACGCTGTGGATGGGTGCAGGACACGGCGGTGTCCAGCAGCTCAGAGCGTGGCAGCGGAGCTCTGGAAACATGGCCCAGCAGTGCCTGGCCCTCGGGCTGCTGCCTGTGATGGCCCCAAGCTGGACCCTGCAACTTTTGCACCCGGGCCATGGGCTTCTCTCCACGAGGTGGGTGAAGGGTGACCTTGGAGGTGACCGCACACCCCTCTTTGCAGATGACTCCTCATCAGAGAGCTGCAGCGGGAATGGCTCCTCCACCCTGAACCCCTCCACCTCCAGCAGCACGCAGGGCGACAGCGCCTTCCCCGAAATGAATGGGAATGGCACCGCAGCCCCCATGGACTTCACTGCCTCCACCGACGACCAGCCCATCAACCTCTGCGACAAGCTCACACCTGCCCACGTCACCCCTTCCTACCAGTCGGACAGCTGCAGCACCGACGGGCTGCGCAGCAGGGTGAAGTACGCGGTGAAGACCACAGCAGAGGTAAGGGGCTGGGGGCACGGCGCGGGGAGTGAAGGCACTGGGGTGTGCGTGATGCTGGGGCTGGCATGGCCACGAGTCCCTCTGCCTGGGCTGTGGCGGGAGGATGGGACGTCAGGAATGGGGATGGTGGCAGCGAGCCAGAGGGAAAGGTTTGAGCTGCAGCTGGGGGAAGGTTGAGGCTGTCTGCTGAAACCCTGCCCCCTTGCAGTCCCCACCATACAGCTCCGGCAGCTACGACTCCATCAAGACCGAGGTCAGTGGCTGCCCCGAGGACCTGACAGTTGGCAGAGCCCCCACGGCTGACGAGGATGACGATGATCACGATGACCACGAGGACAACGATAAGATAAATGACTCGGAAGGGATGGACCCGGAGCGGCTAAAGGCCTTCAATGTAAGGACGGCGCCACGGGGCAACGAGTTTGCCCTCCTTGTGGGTTTGGTGGGTTTGGTGTTCCCACCTCTGGTCTCCCCTGCAGATGTTTGTGCGCCTTTTCGTGGACGAGAACCTGGATCGGATGGTTCCCATCTCCAAGCAGCCCAAAGAGAAGATCCAGGCCATCATCGAGTCCTGCAGCCGGCAGTTCCCCGAGTTCCAGGAGCGAGCTCGCAAACGCATCCGCACGTACCTCAAGTCCTGCCGCCGCATGAAAAAGAACGGCATGGAGATGGTGAGTGGCTGCGCCGTGCTGGGAGCGTGGCTGTGCCGTGCCCTCTTGTGCTTTGCCCTCAAACAGCACTGGGGCCTGAGCTCGGCTCTCCCTTGTGTCCCTGCAGACCAGGCCCACGCCGCCGCACCTCACCTCGGCCATGGCTGAGAACATCCTGGCTGCTGCCTGCGAGAGCGAGACGCGGAAAGCAGCCAAGAGGATGCGGCTGGAGATCTACCAGACCTCGCAGGTACCGTGCCTGAGGCTGTAGCGTGTGGGATAGCACTGTGAGCAGGGGGGAGGTGGTCTCTTGCTGCTGCAGGCAATCAGACTCTCTGCAGCCAACCTCTGTGCTTCTTGTATAGGACGAACCGATCGCCCTGGACAAGCAGCACTCCAGAGACTCCACAGCCATCACCCACTCCTCCTATTCACTGCCAGCTTCGTCCTACTCTCAAGACCCCGTCTACATCAATGGAAGCCTCAACTACAGCTACCGTGGCTATGGGTCCCTGGGAGGCAGCCTGCAGCCACCTGCACCGCTCCAGACCGGGAACCACAGTAATGGTGAGCAACCCTGGCAGTACCCAGCCCTGGCAATAGGGCGAGGCAGGGGCTGGCCCCAAAGGAGCCCCACTCCTGTAGAGCCTCTCTGAAACGCCCCTGTGCCACCAACGGAGGTCTCTGCCCCACCATCCAGCTTGCATCATTAGCAAGCAGTTAATTGTTGAACTGAACTTGAAAGGACAGTCTAGGTGGAAATGGTGGAGGAAAGGAGTGTCACTTAGAAAAAAAGGGAATCTGTACCAGCCATTCATTAATGATTAACAGAGCGGTGCCTATCGCCACCCTGATCTCATTGCTGGTATGAGCTGTCCCTTCCCCAGCCTTCGTCGCCTGTTCTTGGGGACAGGGATGGGGACAGTGCAGGCTGTGGGCACAGCTCTGGCTGCAGCTCAGGAGCATAGCTGCACGGCAAACAGGATGGATGCTGCAGGAGGGAGCTGCAGGAGGCACGTGAGGCTGCAAGCAAGTGAGCAGCATGGAGCAGTGTGGGCTGGAGCGGGGCACACAGGGAGGCAGCGCGGTGCCGGCTGCTGCTGGAGGGGAACAGAATGGGGCAAAGCAGCCCCGTGGCTCTGCTCACTGTGAGCCCCAGTGGCCACTCCTTCCCGGCCCGCTGCCTTTGCCCACCCCAGCTTCCTGCTCCTGCCCTCCCTGACGGAGCGCGGATTTGAAGGGATGTGATTTCCGGAGTTCTGAGAGATGCCTGTCTGGGATTAACTCTTATCATCCCTTCCTAATGCTTCTTAACCCTGAATAAAGATCCCACCCTGGCCTCCAGCTGCTGGGACCTAATCCTTGTGGCTCAGTTCTTGGTCCCCCCGAGCCCAGCCCTGGCCCCACCGCCCTTCTCTTACCAGGTGTGGGCACTGAGTGCAGTTCCCATGACATGAGACAGCAAATAGCTGCAGGGAGAGCCCCGGTGTGAGCCAACAGGCCCTGCTTGCAGCAGATGTCAGCCTCTTTGCTTCTTTCTAATGGATCTTTAAACCTCTGCTTCCCAGTTTTCTTTCCTTCTCCCAAGCACTCACCCAGCCCCATGCAGGTCTGAACACGGTGGCAGCTCCCACCCATGGGGAGACCCGAAGTTTTGCAGGACTGCCTCTCACTGACGGGCTCTCGTTTCCCTCGCAGGTCCGACTGACCTCAGCATGAAGGGGGGGGCCTCCAGCACGGCCCAGTCCAACAGCACCAGCAGGGGGATGCAGGCTGCCCAGCTCAGCCCCACAGAGATCAGCGCCGTGCGGCAGCTCATCGCCGGCTACCGGGAGTCCGCAGCGTTTCTGCTCCGCTCTGCAGATGAACTGGAAAACCTCATTTTACAGCAGAACTGACTCCTCGTGGCTGCGGCGCTCCTCTGTCAGGAAGACAATTTACACCTGCTAGCAATTGGCTCCCAGCGGTGTCCCGCTCAGGACCGCCACCGTCCTCCCGTGAAGCGGCAGCTCCGCGTAGTTGTAGAAGGTGGAACCCAACAGAGCCGTTTTCTTTTACACTCCGAGCACCTGGGACTTCAGGCACGAGGCCACGTTCCTGACCCGTACCAGAAGCCAAACGTGCGGCTTGGAAGGATGCGGGACCTCGAGGGCAGAAGGGAGCCTGGGGAGGTTTGGGGCTGCAGATGTATTTAGGATGACCTTGATGGACCCAAATGTTAGAATCCCGTCCCCAGATAATTTCCAAGTCTTAGGTGAGCCGAATCACATATTTATTGAGAAATGGACCCTCTTCTCCCCTTAGTAATTTATTTTTCTGAAAATGGATTCTTTTGAGTTTGTACAGATTGCCAGTTTTGTGTCTGTCTGATCGGAAGGAATTTGTTCCTGTGAGATAACACATTCCATATCACAACACTACTAATTCCCAGGCAGCTCTGCCTGTTTCTCTGGGCAGCCCCCATCCCGCAGGGCGTGCGTTTGCCACCACCCGGCCCCATCCGCAGCAGCAGCGGGGCTCCACGTCCTGCAGAGACTCGGACGCCCAGCAGACCTCATGCTAAGAGGATGTCTCGCACTTGCTAAGTCATTGCAGATAAGAAGGAAGGAAACACCCGAGAAACACTGTCTTGCGTTCACCATCCGCATTCTACCTCACACTCCATTGTGGGCTTTTTCCAGGACTCCCCCCCCCCCTTGGCTCTGTGACTGTCAGCGCAGTGGATGTGGATGGTGCCCAGGAGCACAGAGCAGCAGCGCAGTGCCCAGTGCTGCCCGACGGCTCAGCTGAGCGGCCCTGGGGCAGCAGCGCAGCACCGTCGCATCACGTGTGCAGTGCATTCAGCAGCAGCCCCCACCCACCCCCATTCCCTGCCCGCAGTCCTGGAACAAGCCCACAATTCCCAAAGTGTGGAATTGATGCAGTCCGGTCACCGTTCCGCCCCCTCCCCAACGATGCACTTCGTTTGCTCAGTGCAATACCTACAACCAGTGCTGCTAAACCAGGGACGCGCTCGGCGCCGCGGTGCCACTCCTCCCCAGTGCTGGCGCGGCCCTCCTCCAGGGCAGGAATTGTCACACCAGACCCATTCGATAGCACAGAACCACATCTCATGTGCATTAAGCAGAGATAGGCGCTCTCTTTGGAGCCGGCTGTTTCATTTTGCCCTTTTTTGGCCACTTTGAGCCTGAGGACGAAGGCTGCTGCCCTCGCCCATGCTGCAGGAGCCCCCAGCACCGCAGGTTGTGGTGAAGGCTGGTTCCCAGCCAGCAGAGCCGGGCAGCACGGTGCAGCCTTCTGAACCAACCGAACGCCCAAACACTGGAAGAAAAACAACCCCCAGCCTTTAGTTTCAGTGCAGGAAAAGCCACCAACGCGAGGACAGGCTTTTGCCTGGCCCAGCACAGAAGGGACGAACCCTTGCGTTGACTGCTCTGTTCCCCAAACCTGACAGTTCCGGTGACGTTCGGAGGAAGGGGACTCGGTCCCTCGGTGCAGATGGAGCCCACGCAGCTCTGTGCCATCGGGGTGGCTCCGGGGCACAGTGGGACCCATCCCCATCCCCGGCTCGCGCTCCCCCCGCGCACCGCCAGCCCGCTCCGTTCGCATCCCTCCCATCCTTGGAATTTATGTAAATATTTATTTTTGTGTGAATACCACGAAGTAACAAAACCTTTTACGAAATATGTAACCCACGGCCATTTGTGCAAGTCTTATTGTTAAAGAAGGAGAGGCAGAGACAATCGCTGTCCCAGAATTTCTCTCTTTCCGACGTGCTCCCGCGTTGCTGCCCCTGCTGTGCCGCCGCGTCCCGCCGTGCTGCACGAGGGTGCCCAGGGCCTCACCAACACACCCGCATCCATTCCTTTGGCTTTGATTTACGCAGAGCTGTAGCTGTTTCGAGCAGACCGCCCTCGACTTTGTCTTAGCGTGGATTGAAGTTTCGTAGCTCTTTTCTAAGCTGCTGCAGAACGCGGCGGAGGCCCCACGGTTGTGTAGGAAGGACACTGAGCAGCCCCCCCCCCTGCCCTAAGGATGCTGTAACTCAGGGCTGCACGGTACAGACGCACAGCCCCGCTGACAGCCGCATCCCAGACAAGCGATGAAACAAACGGGATTGACTACAGATTTCTGTCAGGGATTTATGGTGGTTTTTTTTTGTGGGTTTTCTTTGTTTTTCTTTCTTTTTTCCCTTTAGTCCCTTCGGCACAAGCTCTGTGCAGGTCCCACTGCCCCGTGCTGGCGCTGGGCCGCGTGCTGTGTTTATTTAACACAAACTCATCGCTGATGGAGTAAAGAGATCCCTGTCGTCTCTCCCTTTTGGGTCACTCCCAGCTGCCCGCAGGGGCCGTTCCCGTGCAGGGTCTCTCCATGGGAGCACTCCGGGTTGGTGGCACTCAGACCTCCCGACCCGCGGTCGGATCAGTACCAGTCCACGTCAAATGCTGCTTTGAACTCAGAGGGTTGATATACTTTTGATTTGTAATTTTTTGTAAGACTTTTTACAAGGTAGCATAGTACTTCACCGGAATACCAACTACAATCCGTCCATGGTCTGATTTTTTATATAATTTAGTGGTGCTTTAGGAACTTTCGTTCGGTTGTTTCGGAGCTGTCCGGCTCAGTTTTTTCGCCTGTATCTACCTAAGACCAATGTGAACCTTTGTATTTTTGCTCCTAATTTTGGACTCAGTGAAAGTGTACTGTTTACATGTACAGAACTCCCGGCCCCTGTGTGTTCCGCGCGACCGCCGTTGGGGAGGAACCGGCCCGCGCCCGCTCGTCTGCTTGACCAAGCCACAGTCACACCTCACCCACACCTCCCTGCCCCAAACACCCCCTCCAGCTGCTGGAGGCTTTGCCAGCGGCCGACGCAAAGATTGGCTGTGATTTGAAATGGGAATCGATGTGAAGCTGCAGCCGAGCAGAGCTCCAAGCGGGCACAAAGGCAGCGCTGACGCTTCGCCATTCCCTCCAGGCCCGGGCGCGAAGCTGCCCCCCAAAAACACGAGGAGAGCCAGAATCACATCCAGAACGGGAGAACAGCAGTGGGCAGAGCTGGAGCTCAGCGCCCAGGATGTGGGATGGGGTGGGATGGCAGCGCTGCCCAGGGCTGGGGGACGGCAGCGCCTTCAGAGGGGCAGTGAGAACGCATTCGGCACTTCATCCAGCTCCTAAGGCGACACTTTATTGCTTAATCAATGGGTTCGTTTCAAAATGACATTTTTGCAGATAGGCACCTATGCAACTTCGTGTGGCTCTTAAGCAGATGAGCACTTCCTCCTCAATGAGCTCGATAAGAGTTATTTGTGTTATATACTGTGGATTTTTCCAGTAAATGTGGCTTAATATTTTAATTCTTAGAACGTGTGTCTATTATATATGTGATGCAACTTAATTCTGTTCTGTTTGTGGAATGATTAGCACAGGCCCACTCCCTGTTCCCCTCACTTAACGAAGACCAATGAGCTGTTAATCGAGCTGTTATCTCCATGGTATTACTGCTAAATGCACTGATTTCATACGTATGTGGAATCCTTTTTATTTTTTTTTTTTCCTTTGGAATCTGTATATCATATATAAGACTGAATTTGCTCAATAAACACTGTATAACAGAAGGGCTCCCTGCTCCGCTCTCACCCCAGGGAGCTCAGCTCCCAACAGCCTCGAATTGGGGTCTTTGGAAAAGAGAGAAAATGGCCAAAGCCACTGCAGAGAGCTGCCATGGAGGCTGTGCCGCCCATGGGGAACAGAGCAGCGCTGGCACACGGGGAGCAGCGCAGACCTCAACTTCTCTGCTGGCAAAATTCATTTTGTGACATCTGGTTTTATTTCTGTTTTTGTTTTGTTGGGAAACTATGAAGCTTTCATCAAGGTTTGGGGGGAAAGCTCTCCATCTCCTGATTTTTCATTATCAGCTTTATTCACTGAGTACAACAAACCTTTGCACCCCCAAAACGCCTTTCTCCAAGCACTATGCGGGTAGAACCTCCAGACCTGCCCTGTCCCTGGCTGCAGCAGGAGGCCCTCGTGCAGTGACTGCAGTTCACACACACACACAGCTGAGGTTTCACAGCACACACACGAGGCCCGGCCTGGGGTTCCCATAACAGCCCAGACTTCCAATTATTTAACAGCATCGGAGCTCACCTAAGCAACGACCCTGCTTGGTGATTGCAAAGACCTGGAGTGGTGCTTGCAGACCCCTAGCAGGCAGCAGAGCATCAGTTCAGCATGAATGGTGAGGCAGCACCCAGGGCAGGCGCTGTGCAGCCGTGGGCTTCCCTCCTTGCATCCCCCAACCCCCGACACGTGAGCTCACCACACACGGCACATCGACGCACCGAGGCCAGGACTGAGACACAGAACATCACCATTTGCATTATTCCTTTCCAAAGTGTTTCCTGCCTGGAAAAAAAATAAAAAATATTGCAATAAATGGATTGGTAGCCAATTAAAAACAACTCGGTGTAACTGGTGTCGTCGTCAAGCTTTTGCAAATGTGTCAGAGCCGGGCACGGAGCAGCTCTGCTCAGAGATGGCCCCTGTGGGCTCAGCAGTGCCTGCACCGCTCTGAGCTTCGCAGCATCGCCTCCCCGGGGTGGGCGCACGGCCTCTGGTTGTCTGCAAGGGTGCAAAGAAAACGACGGGGTGAAGCTGAGACAACAAACAGCTCCCCTTCCCCATCCCCTGAGCCAAGCTCCCGCTTCAAAAAAGAGGAAAGAAAAAGCGACGTCGCCACAGAGAGCGATTTGAGGAAAGGAGCACTGCAAGCACAGACACAGCTTGTAGAGAGTGTTTATTGTTCCAACACAAGGGACGTACACCAGGCGGCTCGGCGCAGCCCAGGGCCCCCAGCAGCAGAGCCCACCGCGCTGCTCTCTTTGGTTCGCGCTCCTCCGCTCCGAGCCCAGGCGGTCGCCCCTCTCCCTGCAGGTGTGTGAAGGATGAGCCCTGCAGAGGCCAAACCTGGGGCAGCCCTCAGGGTCGCGTTTCCATTAGAAAATAAAAATAATAAAAAAAAAAAAAAGAAAAAAGAAAAAAAAAAAGTGCACAGTCAAGGGAGGTAGGAGAGAGCTAGAAAAGGTACAAGCAGAAAAAAAGTACTAAAAAGAATCCTATTCCTTCTACTGTCTTCTTAAGGAACGTCTGAGTTCTGCTCCCACTGAAGCAATTCGCGCTCGGGAGTTGCTCCGGAGGAAGAGGAGCTGTTCTGCTGTCAGCCACCAGAGGTGTGAGGACATCCACCTTCGTGCACCACCGGGAGACACAGCAACAGCAGCAGCTGCACGAGGTCCAGGAGTGAAGCACGGAGCCCTGGGCACGGCGGGCAGAGCCTCACCTTGGGCGAGACAGAACACAGCTGCTCTGACTACAGATGCAGATTAACAACTACCACCACTTTAATGCAATACTGCTGGAGAGCCCGAAAAATCCAAGGAAAAAAGAACCCTTTATGTACTATGTACATTACATCCATTTACAGAGTTGGCCAGTACTGTGTACAACATATAAATACATGATCAAACAGATGCATAGAGGATACTTACAGGAGCCAAATAATTCACTTTATACATCCAAGAATGAAAATATATATTAAAAAAAATAATAATAATAATGAAAAAACACTGCTTTAAATGTTAAGATGATCGTCACACAGATGCACAGCTAGACACTTGCAAGTGGTCAGATGCTGTCACAGTCAGGTCCTCACTGCAGGGCTGCAATGCACAGACGGCTGCTGGCCACGCACTGCGCTTCTCAGAGCCTTCCTGCACGGACGCGTGCTACAAGGAGGCTGCAGCAGCCTCAGCCTTCAGCTGGTGCCAGAGTTCAGCTGGGCAACCCAAAGCCCCGCACATCCTGCAGGCAGGAGCCGTTTTCCCTTGCCACGTGCTGCCTATTCTTCTTGCAGCTCCAACCGCAGAGCGCTTCGCTGCTCACCGCGTCCAACCTTGGCACCGGAGACCACGCGGAGGCACCTGCGTCCTGCCTGCACTGCTGTGCTCAGCACACAACCGACCTCGGAGATGGCAGAAGGGGAGAGTGGAAGACTGTAGGGGCTAACCTAGAGCAGCCCTGAAATAGAACGCACCCTGTTCCAGTTCCTTTGGATGTAGAGGTCTCCTCTCCGGAGGGTCCACGGATGCCACAGCAAACTGCCTCCCAGCCAGGTGTCAGCTTCACACACATCCCAGGGCACAGCCAGCACGTCCACGATAGCACAAAGCAGAAGGATTGGCTCCGGTGGGGCACAGCCCACAGAAATCGGAGTGTCATCGTGAGCAAGGAAGGGTTTTGCACTGTCGATTTCAGTGGGGAGGCGAGTCAACTTTCCTCACCGAAACGAAGTATGATAGCATTTCTACTATAAACAGAACCGTATCCTGTGTACAGGTTTAGGATCAGCCGTTATCAAAATACGCACACTGAATATACAACCTGTCCCATGGCCATAATTTATTATCTCACCACAAGGCACAATACACAGAGCTTAGAGGGTCCTATACAGTCATCGTGACAAAACGCCCCGCAGCCTTTACACATGATCATGGCTTTAAGGCTGCACGAACACTTGAAGGATATTTCTTCAACGCTGCTGCTGTCGGCAAACATCTGCACGGAAAGGGACGTGTTGTGGTTTGCAGCAAAGTTCGCTTTGTGGCTGAGCTGCACCATGCTTCCAGCGAGGCTTCTGGGAAAAGCTGGAGCGCTGGATGAATAATTAAAGCTGGTGGAATTCAGCTGCAGCTTAGAAAGCTTCCCATAAAACGCTTGCTTGATATTGAACTGAGAGGGTATGGAGGAAGGCTCCAAAGGGTGATTGTGTCTTTTTCCTGCTTCCCTTGAAAGCTTCAGGAACGGCAAGTCCATCGCCACAGGAACGCTCTGCGAATGCTCCCTCAGCTCCGCAGGGTTTGGTGCTGCATCCTTCTGCCTCTCCCCGCTGCTCTTGGTTGGGCTGCCACACGCCAACACGTTCTCACTTTTTGTTCCTCCCAGGGTGTTGTTCCCGTGCTGCTTCGAAGTCCACTCTTCCCTTGCAGCCGGCATTCCTTCTGCACAGCTTTTGGTCACAGAAATCTGTTTGCTGGGGGCCAAGGCTCCCATGGCTGACACCTGATCTGAAGCCCTTGAGTGATGCAGCCTAACGCTGGGGTTGCAAGGAAAACCAGAACCGAAGAGCTTTTTGCCTTGAACTCCAACATACTTTTGATTGACAGATGCATTCCCCATCTGATTTGGGCCAAGAGAATCTACATTTGGAGATAAAAACGGAGGCTCTGGAGGCAGGTTTGGCTTCTCAGGACTTTGCTTTGTGACGACATTTGTTAATGGGTTATGCTGTGGCACCCGATGGACCTTAGCCAATTCTTTTTGCTCTTCAAAGCTACAGGAAGAAAACGTTCTTTCCCGAGGGCTCATGTCTTCAGGCTTCTGAGAGGCACTTGCCACATTTGCCAGTTGGTCTTGGCAGCTTAAGGTTAAGCCAATTTTGGAATGTTTTTCTGGAACGGGCTGATTCTCCATACCCTCCACTCCAGGCAATGCTGCTCCTGACCCACGTGTCTTCTCCTGGGGATCTACAGAAGATCTCACCGGGTGGAACTCATCGCTCCTGGTTAGGGCACTCGTCTTTATCTGCACATCTGGGCAAGATTCTTTACCAAAATAGCAATCGCCCCCTCTCTCCATCGGCACGGGGAGGCTTTCTGACTGCTTGTCTAGAGGCGGCTGCGCGCCTTCCACCTCGATGTTGGCGTGAGACCCGGGGAGAACCTCTTCCAGCAGACGGTTCCCCTTAAGCAGCTGCTTCACCAAAGGGCTGCTGGCATCAGAGGACACGGACTGAGCAGAACCTGATGGCCTCTCGGGCTTTGGGGGCAATGGTGCATGCAGTCCCCACCTCTGAGGTGGAGCTGCAGTGCTCACTGTGGCCACTGAAGAGAAGTCCACACGGCAGGGCACATCACCTGCTTCCAGAGATGATTTTGAACTAATTTTATCACATTCCTCAGTGCTGCTCTGACAGAAGGAGCCCTTCCTAGCTCCCTCCCTGCAGCTGAGGTTTCTGTAACACATCTCCATCTCCACATTCTCATCAACCACGTCAGCTTCAAAATCCGAAGCAGTATCTGTTGATTCACTGTGTGTACTCTGTACTTCATCATCTCCGTTTGCCTTGAACTCTCCAGTCTCCCTCAACGGCTGGCACTCGTCTTCTGAGTCTGTTCCAGGGCACCTCTCCCTCAGTTTTTCAGAGGTATCTATCCTACTCTGAGAAACAAAGCCATCACATAAAGAGGATTTCAACAGAGATTCCGCATTCTGTTCCTCATTGCTCAGTTTGCCATCACTCTCTCTCCCTGCCTGCAGGTGTGTGAAGTTGCACAGTGCAGGCACTCCTTCCTGTGCTCCAGCAGTCACTATTTTGGAGTCACCACTATAATTTTTCACGCACTGTTCCACTAACGTTGTTTCAGAGCCATTAAATCTAAATCTTGATATCATGTTCTGCTCGTGGCATTCTTTACCACCTGATGGCAATTCTGGCAGAAGAGCAGGATGACCGGTGGAATTCTCCTTTACATCAGAAGGATGTACAGCGGGAATACCAACATCTCTGAGTTCTGACACAACCCTGCCTCCTGCAGGACCCATCTCAGCTCCCTGCGCCTGGGCACACGACAGATCAACTGCGGGAGGAACCACGTGTGTCACCTCTGTGCTCTGCCCCTCCTGCGACGCAGCACGTGATGAGGATTCAGTCCTGGCATCGCAGAAGAGCTGCTGGGGGCTCTCCTGTGGCCTCTCCAAAGCCGTGCTGTCCAATGCCGACGCCGTCAGAGCATCACAGCGCTGCCCTCCGGGTGAGCCATCGCCGGACTGAGCTTCCCCTGAGCCAGCGCCCGCGGCGCACTGCAGAACAGCGCTTCCCTCAGCCTTGGAAGAAAAGGAGTCTTGTTTCGAGGAGGCAAAGGAATTTGTGCTGGCTGCCTGCGCGGCCGCCTCGGAGCTGGCCTTCCCTCCGTTCAGACGGAGAGCCGAGAGTAGTTGTGTTCGCTGTAGATCTGACGAGCGCTTTCGCCGAGCTCTCTTTGATCTTCTGCGTCTGCGATGGCTGCTGCGTTCTCCTCCACCCCCCTCAGAGTTTCTCCCTCCGCCGGGGCCGCCCCCACCACCAATGGCGGCGGCAGCAGCTTCTCGCTGGGCTCGGGCCTGCAGAGCACGGGCCTTAATGTCTGCGAGAGTTCTGGCCCCGCTCCTGCCCCGGGCGGAGGGCTCCGTGTTGGGGATGATCCTGGGGCATATCTGGTAAGCTGGCTGACCTTTAACCACCCAGGGTGGTTTAATACGTGAAAGTTGAATCTGAAAGAAAAAAGAGAAAACACTCGGTTGCAACGCTCGACCATTTTCAGACAGCAACATGCATTTTCTGAACATCTTCTTGTCACAATGTTTCATTAAGGAGTTAAAATTCCAACTTAAACACAAGTTTTGGCAGAGCAGCGGCACGGTTCCCGTAACCCCTGCTTATGTGCTCTGTCATGCGGGATGTAAAGCTCACTCGCTATGAACGCTGCCTCGCCAGAGCCAGCAGACAAACATGAAATAGGTGCTTTGCCTTCAGACCTTCATAAATCAAAATGGTCTCCTTTACATCAGGGTGACTGCTCTGAAGCTAGCAAGATGGATGCCTCCAGTTGAAATAGTGTAAGTCTGAAGGAACACTTTTCTGCCCCCAAAAGAAAGGAACGGGGAAATGACACAGGATAAAGAATTTGATTTGAAGGTCTCTGTCGCAACGAGTCAGCTGGTTTCAGGAAAAATGATTTCTGCATCCACAGAAATTAAAATTAACACAGTAAGTCAAGGTTATGCTGAGCTCTTGCACAAAGACCTTGGAATGATTTTCCATTCTTTGCCCTTCTAAACAAGACAGTAAACTGGGGCAATCAGAGGTACTCAGCCAGCTCTGCCAATGAAACCCTTCCACTTCTGCTAACATGACAACACTTGACATTTTAATAATGTTTTGATGCTACTAAGCGTGAGAGCCCTGAGATAGCAGGCAGCTATAATTCTCTTTCCTACCCGGATGGGTGGGACTTTTGGCTCCTCTTTAGTAGGTTGTGGCTTTTCTGAGTGAACACTTTCAATTGTGTTACGAAAGGACTGACGATCTTCAAGCCGGGGCTTCTTTTCGGGGAAGGAGGCAGAGGCAGCCTCCTCAAAGCATTTCCTCTTCTGGTCCTTTGGTTCCCGAGCAGGGCTCTCCTGGGACAAACAGGGAATCCTGTTTGCAGCTGCCAATGACAGATCTTCCGATTTACTGTGCAGTTTGGAAGTCTCTGGAGAGAGATGCGATTCTGAGTTCTCTGGCTTCAGCACTGCAGCAGAAGCACTTGTCAGGTCATCTTTCTTCTGGTCCACCTCAGACTTTGTGTCTTTATGAAGAGAGGAATCCGGTCCCACAGAAGCAGTGTCTTTGGAAGCCTCTTTTTGCTCAGAATCACGCAATTTGTACAGGCTCCTCCTGGCTCTGCAGCGCAGGTCGGCCCTGGAGCGCTTCTTGAAGTGCCCATCCCTCTGCCGCGTGGAGGGACCGCGTGGCAGCCTGCTTTCTCCTTTCACAGACAGAGCTGTCCTGTTCTCGGCATCTTCTTGCACCAAATTCTGCTCCTGGGATTCTTCTTGGGTCAAGCCCAACCTGTAAGGCCAACGCAGAAACTAGTTAAGATCGAAAGCTCATCCCAAGCATCTCATCTAATATTCATAGCCGTACCGTCACCACTATACATAGTAACATGCAGATTACAAAGCAGAGACTCATCAAAACCTCATTAAGTCAGCCTGCAATGAGATAATCTCTGTGTCTGCGATCCCACATTATTGTCACAGGGAGTAAGGGAAATAGGCAAAACATAAAGATACGTGATGGAAAACAAATCATATTAACTTGTCTTGAGGACAAAACAGATGGGCTATGAAATTCTGCTGTGACCAAGCCAATTCTCCATAAGGAACCATCTTTTCATGTATCCACAAGCAGAACCACACGCTGCCACCTGCATAAAAAGGACAGACGAGGCACAGTTCCTTACTTTTGTCCATAGTAGTCCTCAAAGAACTTCTCCTTCCACTGCTCCACTCTCTTCTCCTTCTCCATCTCCTGCCGAATTCGAACTTGCATTTCATGTGTGAATTCACCTACAGGGATTGAAGATACCGAAATTCAGTTCCAAGCAAAACTGATTTTGTAAAAACGATCTCTTTTAACAGTGTAGAACAGAAGTTGTATATAAGAATGCATGTTTTTCTTATTCTCTGCTTTCTGCTCCACTATGGATCCACATGCCACCTGCAACTATTCAAATGCAATAGTCACAAAGCCTGAAGTGAATCTGGAAATTAAACACTGTATTTTACCACTTGGAGGTCACTATTCACGAAAAGGTAAGTCTGGCACTACTTTACACCCCCACTGTTTTGTTCTGAATATCCCATGGCATCTAGAGAATGTGAAATCCATGATTTTAAAGGAAAATAAAGATGAGCTGGGGGCAAGACAGCCCCATATACTGGGACTATATTCCCACTCACTAACTGGGAAAGAAGAAAGCCCTTAAAACAAGCACCTTTTCTGCAAGCACCAGAGAAAGCAAAGCAACTCACCGTCAGCCAGGCGTTCCCTCCAGCTCTGAGCAGCATGGGTGAAGAATTCATTATTCAGAGCGCTGCCACTGAGACGCATCAGCCCATCAGCCCCAACCTTAGGGGACAAAAAACAGGACAAAGAAAACAGTGCTTCAGCTGTCCTGCCAGAAAGAGCCAACAGGGTGAACAGAAAACAACCACGTGCTGCACCGTCCTACCTGCCTATCGACTTCTGGAAGGAGGTAAAGCAGCTGCTGCTGGAAGTGCGATGGGAGTGCATTAAAGGTCCTGGAGTTTATCAGAGCCCGCAGGTTTGTGTTGACAAGAATGGAACCAGGCGTTTCAAAGTCAATATCCTCACCCCTGTTTCGTTTCATTTGCCCTGTAATTTAAGGGCAGGCAAAGAAAATGAAGCATTATTGTATAAAAATGCATCAGCGTTACGTGCAAAGACACCACAACAGACCACACTGTAAACTACTGCAGCAAAAGGAGTAAGTAAAGACTGTCGTATTCAAGCATGAAGAATGGCTTTCTCAACCATGCCAATTAATACTAAGCATGCAACTGGAACTTTGACACGAGTCACACTGCTGTCACATACAGACACAGTTCTCAATACCGTTTTCCACAGCAGGAAACTCTTAAACAACTGGTTCACTAAGTTTGGAGAGAAAGATCCAGACCACGAGCCTTAAGATCATCATGTGCCTTCTAAAGGAAGGGTTTTCTTTACTCAGAAATACAGAGATGTCAACACTGCTGGCTTTTATGGCCTGACTGTAATAGAAGCACTCACCAGCTGTGGGCTTTCGGATTCCTCTGAGCAGCTGTGGAGGATCCCTGTTTATTTCTGTCCGGCTGCGCAAGGTGGCACTGCACAGAGCCAAAGAGCTGCTGCTGCTGCTGGATGTGCTGCTGCTCTCCCCATCAGCATGCCTTCCTGTGAAGCCTAAAAGCAACAGAATTTTACAGGAATATGCAAAGAACAGAAAACCAACTTGCAGAGTGGTTTTTAGCCCTTCAGAATTATCTGCTAATAAAAACAGTTCGATTCTTACAGGTTATTGGCTGACTGAGATAAACGCACCCCCAGTAGCCCAAATCAGTCACATGCATTCTCAGCAAACATTAAAGAAGTCCCCAGGCAAACTTTCTGTTAGGGACCACTGATCAAAAGCTATCCACATATTTATAAGAATCATCAAGACAAAAGCAATGCTCACCAGATGCAGACTCCATGTGTGCCCCATTTACTTTCAGTGGCGTTAAGACAACACGTGGCAACATGACACCTGTCTTTCTCTTTTGTTTGGTTGTCTGTGGTCCAAAAAGAAAACAAGAAGAAAACAAAGGCACAGTGACACGATGGGAAGGCAAAATAACCTTCCAAGCAACGTATTTCCCAGTTAAAGAACCACCTAGCTTCAAGTATCAGTCACTAACTATATTTATGAATAGCAGAGAATTCAGAACTTCAACCCTGTACAATTTCTAGAAACTCCTCACCCAAGCACACAGCCCCACCACTCTCCCTGAGGCACCTGTGCACACCCGGTCCCTGTCACACAGCATGGAAAGCTGTCCTTTCTCCTACCTGTGAGGCTGTTCTGTTGCTCTCCCTGGCAGTAGAGGGTCCCTTGCTCTGAGATTCGGTGGAACAGGAGGCGTTGGAGGAGGTTTCATCAAGGGACACTGAAATAGACGAGCCCTCGGTCAAAAACAGAAGTGGATACTTGCAGCTTAAGATGAATGTTATGAGACACTTACCATCATTGTCACCACTCACAGTGCTTGTTTCATTGGACTCGCAGCTTTCTGCATCTGCTGTATCCTCCAGTTCATCCCCTTCTGGCACAGACAGGTTCCGAGACCACTGCAGGGCATCCTTCTAAATAGACAAACAAAACTCAGGTGGCTGCAATCCTCCTCCCAGCCCCTACTGCTTAAACCAACGGGAGCTGTTGGTTTCACAGATACAGGTTTTATTTTGATTTCTTTCCTGTTTTAATCCCCTTGATGCAGAAAGAAATGCAGGCTTCTAGAGGAGCAGAAGTCACGTAAGCCATGAGCACACTTTGAGGACATTTCCATCACTTATAACTAAAGCACACACCAGTAACTTTATATCACTCTTGTGAATCAAGCACGCAGTTTCTAAGGAAGAGAAATATCTCAACATCTCATTCTTACTAAAGAGCATCATTCAAGAAGCCAGCTACTAAGACAGCAAGCCTGGGAGATGCATTTACTACCTGTGTAACCAAAACCATTTCAAGTCCTTCTGTTTTTTCTAAAGTGTGACAGTTTAACAACATTTTCTGATGGCAGTAAAAGAGCTGCAAGATATTAGTGGTCTATAAAGCTGATATTTATCAGGGTATCCAACAGTACAAAAGAATGCCAATGAAAAGCCTGAGGCATTTCCAACAGTGAAGATTACTGGGACAAAAGACTAAAATAAAACATTTCACAGAGAACTCTGAAGGAAAATACATTTTGCTATCAAGATTTTACTTGTAGCTGTAAGCCTTCAGACCAACACAAGTTACTGGTTGGCCACGTTCCTTTGTGGCTCTTGGATGAGTGAAACAGGGCTATTTTGGTAAACAACACCTGAGTTGAAAACAGAAAACTGGAATAAGCATTTATCTTCTGGTGCAATTCATGAAATAACAGGCAGGTTGAAAGGACTGTACCACATGTGGATGAACACAGCAGCAAAGTACAAGAGCTATGATGAAATAACGAATTCCAGAGACACTTTCACACAATGATCTCACAGCAGCACACTCAGCCCATGCGATGCTCAGTGACACTTTAGCACTCAGCTACACACAACAAGCAGAGCTCGCAGCTCAGCCTTCAACCCAGAGCACAAACTCTGTATTTACCTTCAGGGTGAACAGGCTGATCCGTCCAGGCAGTTTGTAGAAGAGCCCATCGCCTCCCCTGGAATTGGAATGGAGCATGGCGTTGAGGCAGGCCAGGGGAGAGGTGCCACTGAAAAACAGGAGGGTGCAAAAGGGATCATTTCCAGAAACGGCCCAAAATGAAAGATCTGTTTCAATCAGCATCAGCTGCTGAAGGAGGGGAACAAAGATGAGACTCATTAACTTCACGGGACAGGCACTGCAGTCAGAATAGCATCACTGTTTCCCACTCTGACCTGTCCATTTGCCTCAGCGCATCACAGCAAAGCAATCTGCACAACACAGGAAATGTTAGGTTCATTTTGAAGTCACTCTTGGTCATTTTTAGTTACTTCTTTCGTTACACATTTCCTCCGTTACTCCGCTTGTAATCTTCAGACCAGGATTGATTCTACTAAAAACCAGATTCAGTCAGCAGCAGCAAAACAAGAACAGAGACAGCAAAAATGGTAGGCATACGTATTTCTGGGATGTCTTTCCTGATTTGACTCTGCACTGGCAGAGTTAGATATCAAAGGTCTGAGGAACCCATTTGGCAAGCCCTCACAGTGCCCCAGTTTTGCCATTTGTGACCAAAGCAGCCATCCTACGCTCACAGCAATGGAACTTCCGTGCCATGTAGCCTCATGTTTTCCAGTAAGTCACACAGGGGCATGCAGAAAGCTACCTGGAAGAGACATTAAAGCAGTCCTGATTTCACTGTTATTAAAAGTGAAACTGAAAACTGGATGGAGACAAAAAGAAATCAAGAAAATCATTCTCATATTGAAAGCTGAGTTCAGAACCATTTCTGTTTTCACTCTGCGTTGCATTTGGGTTTTGGGCGTTTATTCACAAGCCTCAGCAGCAGACAAAAATCACCCTCAATCATTTTTAGATACCATGAAAAAAATTTCCCAGCCTTCTGGCCTGTCAGACAGTGCTTTCCCTTCAGTACTTCACAGAATGTTTCAAGTAAGCCAGCCAGCCACAGAGCACATTTTCTTGAAATGGCAAAAAAGCACCAAAAACAAAGCAACAGAAAAACCACAGACATGCTTCTTTTTTTTTTTTTTTTCCCCAGAAGGAGGGAAAAACAAATAGCCAGAACTTTTCCAGGAGGAAGATTCTGGCTCTGCTGCTGGGTGCTGACATCCCAGCTTAGCACAGGGTCCATAGGGCTGCTAAGAACCAGGCCCATCCAACTGGCTGAGGTCACCCCCAGAGCAGGACAGCACAGCCTCAACACTGATTCAAAAGGAAAACCCCCTCCCGAGTCGCTAAGCCGTTTCCTTCAGGAAATGCATTTTCAGGAAGGGCTTTTATTCAAGTAGCAGGAAAACCTGCTGCATGTTTAGCAGACAGGATTGCTGCCTGTGTCCTGTGAACAATTATGCTGGGAAGAAAACAGGCTTTTCTTACAGCAGAGAGTTAACAACAGGAAGGAAAAGCAGACATCCCAAAGGAAACCCAGTGACTGCCAGATGAGCGATGCAGCTTGCGGGGCTCTGCACAATGCAAGGTTTGGTTTGCAGCTCCCTATCGTGAGAGGTCACTTGGCACAACTGGGAGAAGCCCAAAGCAACTGCTGCTTCAGGACGTTCCTGATGCAACCTGGAGCAGCACAGAGATCTTCAGCTACCTGTGTAAGGTGGAGGACTGATCCAGAAAGGCACTGAGTATCCATTAAAATGAAGCCACATGGCAGCTTGCACTGGCTGGATTCTTCTGAGAGCTGCAATACCAAAGCACTGGAGATGTGTGTGGTGAAGAGCCCAGCCACAGGGTGAGCGTTCAGCAGCCCCAGTGAAGCAGCAACTGAAGAGGACATATCTGTACAGTGTCAAGAGCCACAGCAGTGTAAGCAGTGCTTTCACAGTGCTCAGAAGTACTAGAAGTGCCAGTTGAGTACTGGAAAATACAATGAGATCCTTCTGAGTCTCCTAAAATGTAATGTCTGCTCTAGAAATGAAGAATCAGAGGAGACAGAACTGAAACTATTACCAAACTGGAGTCTAGTAGTAGAAAGCACCGGGAGCTACTTCTGAGAGAAATATGCAGGGGGAGTAAATCAGTGCGTGAATCAGTGCGGGAGGCTGATCTGCAACGGGCATTTGTGTCACAGCAGATGGATGAAGGGAACTCCGTAGGTTACAAAAAGAAAATCCAATTAAAAAAAAAGTATTACAAGTAACTGCATTGTCAACTGAAATTACCATGCTGGAAAGGGAAAAAAAGGAAGCAGGAAAGCAGGCTGGGGATGAGGCAGAGTCACACGGAACAGCTCAGGCCTTCTATGCAGCCTGCACCACGCTCACGCTGGGTTTCACATGTGATCATCAATACTAACCTCATTTCCTTCAGTCCTTCAGCCTCTATGACCTGCAGAATCTGCTTTGGGGTCATTGGAGCATCCGAGTAGTTTTCCAGCACCTGAAGAGACAGAAATACCAAGTGTCATCACAGGCTTGCATCTACCTTCACAGAACTGCTCAACACACCAGGGATCAGAGCCTAAAATACACCTCGGAGAGCTTTATTTACCTACAGAAGACAGGTGCTAAAAATTTCAGGTGCTTCATAGTAAGCATGACAAAAGCCTCGGCTCCACAACATGAAAGCCAGGGGGAGCTTCATCAGAACCCAACATGCAACACCAATCTGCTACCAAACAGCCTTCAGAACTGTACAGCACAGTAGTTAGGGACCTTTAATGATGTAAAATGTTCTCCCAACCATATGCCTCTCTACCTCCCAGTAAGGAATCCAGCATTTTTCTGGCAATAAAAATATTACTGGGCAACTGTGTAATTCCTCCCTTGGCTTACTGCATTCAGCTCATCTTATCAAGGGGAGTGCTGTGGGTAAGTGTTGGGAAGGACAGAGTTCAGGAAAAGACAACAATGATTAAGGACACAGAAAAAATGATGGGTAGGTGCTTAAAAAAAAAAGCTGCATGCCTTCGAAGGAAAATGAGTGAAGTCAGACACTAAAAAAGGCAATGAAACAGATAACAGCTCGTCCTTCCATACATCATATGAAGAACAGAACTGCAACTTACACATGAGGAATTAGACAGGCTGATAGATAGGTGTACTTTTAAAGCCTGTGGAAATGAGTGCTCCACAGTACTGGCAGAACCTCGAGGGTTCCAAGAGGACTGACATCTCTGCTCATATGGTCTGCCTGCATTTCCAGCCCATCAGAGAGAAACCCAACCCCGTGCCCTTCAGCTCTGCGCTTCAACCGTGTTTTCTGATAAAGGAATCATTTAAACCATAGCCACCCTGCATGAAATCTTCAGGTGTTTGAAGATGACAAGAACGGGCGTCAGTAAGCTACTGGGAAAGAACCATAGCCTGAGATCACATGCAACAAACACACAGAGTTTGAAGGAAAGATCAAAGACAGCAATAAGCCAAATTCTAAGCGTAAACACTTTTAATTCCTTGTCAGTGCAGCTCCAGCACGCCTCCCTCCACTGATCACAGAGCCTCTGTAGGTCACCATCTCTGCACCCTCCTCACACCCCAGTGCTCTGCATCACCCCAATGGGACAGACACTGACAGGAGAACATTCCTATCTTGGAAAACAAGGGAATCCTTCACAGCTGACAAAGTGTCAGACACAGCACAGCCTAAAACTGAGCACAAATGAGCGTTTACATAAAAATAAAAGAATCTGCACTCTCTTGGGAACAATTTCCACTCAACAACTATATACTACTAGTGGGGAGCCTTGCACGCCTCCCCACAACAGCACCACCCCTACCTGCCTCATTGATGGGGATTCCAACAGGATCTCCATCAACAGGAGCTATTCCCTGCCCCAAGGAGACGCCTTCCTCCACCATTTGTAACACAGAGCTGAGGATCCTACATGCCCAGTGATGGAGGCTGAACCACGAGTGGTGAGGGCACCCGGCTCTGACAGCGCCCATCAAACGATGCCACGATTCCAGGTGCCCAACTCATCTCTAAAGGTTTGTTTTATGGGTATGCATGATGTTAGCTCTGTAGGAGCAGCAACACTAAAAAGCCTTTTACCTGCGATTCTCAGAAACATGGAGAGGAATATGAAATCCAGCAGAGCACGTCAGAAAGGAAAATTAAAAGCATTTTGACAGGGAGCATTTGTAAGCCTAACGTTAAATAAAGATCTATTTTTAGTGGATTTACAATCAGTCCTGCAAGCTGGGAGTGCAGCTATGCAACTGCAGGTCTCTCTAAGTGGATAATCTAGCAGGAGATGGTTCTATTTCTGGTCCTTCAGTTGCTCTGTGATGCTGCTGAGGGCCTGACATCTCCATTCTAGTGTCCAGAGTGCAGGCCCAGAGGGCAGGTGAGAGAAACCATGCCTGGGAGGGGATCTTCACTGCTTCACAGTGGCAAAGATGTGCATCAGGAAACTGCTGCTCGGCCACCCACTGAGCACAGTGCTCGGGGCAGCCCCACACACTGAGGTTTTCACCCATTGGAGCTCAGGACTTCAGGATGAGGAGGGATTTGGTGCCACACAGCCCTGTGCTGCCTGCAGCCCGGGCACAATGCTTGCACACAGCCCCACAGAACCGGGACCCCATAGAGATACAGCGCAGCTCCACAGCACCCAACTTCTGCCCTCTCTGGTTTGTCAAGCCAAAGTCACGAGGGCCAAAAATACGATCATTTTTCACACCCAAGGGGACGTGAGCTGCAGGACAAGAGATGTCCACACAGCGGGGCTTCCCCTGGGCTCAGCCACCCAAACGAACCTCACACAGGAGGAGCACCACGGCTACCTCAGTACAGACCCCAAGAGCAGCAGGGATGGGTGCTCCTTTCCTGCCCAGTCCTTGGCTCCGAGCCTTGCAGTCACCATCTCTGAGCAGCACGAAGCCAAACAGGACGGCCCGCAGCCCTATAAACCCACAGCCCTATAAACCTCACACGCCGTCAGCTCGCAGCCCGGCGCTCAGCCAGCAGGACACAAAGCTTGCTTTCCTTTTCTTTTCCTTTCCTTTCCTTTCCATTCTATCTCCGGGCAGCTCACCGTTCCGCGCGCGCTCCCGAGCACAACGCGGGGCCGGGCGCGCGACCGCATCCCGTCAGGGCCGGGGCGATGAGGCCCGGCCCGGAGCTCCGCCATGGCCGCTCGGCGCGGGGAGAAGGGCCAGGCCCTCCGCCGAGAAACCCCCCATACACACACACACTCATACATACATAAATACACACACACACATACATACATACATACGCGCGCGCACACACACACACACACACACACACACACACACGGCCCGGGACGGGCCCCTCCGCCCCCCCGCGGCCTGCCGAAGCCCCGCGCGCCGTTCGGGCCCTCACCAGGCGGGCGGCCTCAGCCCACGTGCGCTCCTTCTTCCTGCGCTGCTTCATCTCCCTCATCCTCCTCCCGCGCTGGCGGCGGCGGGCGGGCGCGAACCGTTAGAGGCGCGCGCGGGCGGCGGCGGGAGCGGGGCGGGCGGCGGCGGCGGGGGCGGGGCGGGCGCGCGCGGGCGGCGGAGCGCGCGGGGCGGGGCGGAGCGGGGCGCGCGGCGGGGGCGGCTCCGGGCGCTACGGGAGGAGACGGCGGCGGCGGCGGCTCGGGCCCGACATAACAACGGGGTCAAAGGGCTCGGAGCGGGGCGAAAGGGGCGGGGCTCGGCGACGGCGGCCGCGGTGGGACACGGCGAGCCGCGAGCGGAGGGGCCGGGCGCCGTTTGAAGGAAAACAAAGCGCGAAGGCCGCCGGGAGCCGTAGGCGGCTGCGCCGAGACGGCGCGGCCCCGCCCCCCCGGAGGACTACAGCTCCCAGAGGGCGTCGCGCGCCGCGGGGCATTGTGGGGCGGCGCTGCGCGGGGGCCGCCCGCAGCATGGAGCGTACCGTAACCGGACGGCTTCGGTAGAAGCGAATTGAAGCTGCCCGGAGGCGGCTGACAAACGAAGGATGAAAAGTGGCGCGTTGCGATGTGATAAATCTGATTGAGTTTATTATGCGCTGTGTTTTAGGGTCATTTTACATTCGTAAACGGAAAAAAAAAAAAAAAAAAGATACAAATAAATACGGGCGGAATTATCGCCGGGAGGGGATGGGCGCAGGGGGGGGCAGCGGGACCCCCGGTGTCAAAGCCAAGGGATGGGGAATGCGGGCAGCGCCGTGTTATGGCAGCACATGGGCTTTGTGCAGGTTCCGTTCGCCAATCTGTGCTTTAACGCAGCACGAATGGAATGGTTTAAACCGGACGTCACACGGGAAAGGACTGCAGGGCTGCGGGTGTCTCCGAACCTCAGTGCATCTCCAGCGAACAGAAGCCTGCTCTGATCTGTGTAATGCAGCTAAAACGCTGTCACAAAGGTAGATTGGAGCAGCATGGCAGTATTGTTAAAAAGGCATCCGATCTGTAGTAAGGATTTTAAGAAAGTACTTGAGCTCTTACACCTCAGTGCTGCTGCCAGAACCAGAGGGCTGCTTCTGCTGCACGTCGCTGTTTTGGAAGTACAGATCCCATTATACAGATCAGAGCGAGGATAAGGATGTAAAAGGTCCCTATGAGAAAAGCTGGGGCTGTGCACAATGTCCCAGGGCCTCTTGCAGGAGTCTGCTGGATTTCCTGTCTTTGGCAGTTAACCTGCAGGAAGCCCAGATGGTTCAGATAACACCCAGAGGCACGCAAAGCTTGGCAGGAATGTTCATTAAAAACTTCAACCCAGCGCTTGGTTTGCTTTGTAGAGCTTAAGACAACGCACTTCCCTTAATATCAGTGCCACCGAGTATCTGCTCATGGGTAAGTCCATCAAAATGAGAATCTAAAAGCTTCTGTAACAATCTGTAGCACACTAACCAAACCTCTAACAGCTCTGATTTCAATACAATGACTAAATATGCAATTTTATTCTTTTTTCCATCCTACTGAACTTCTTTCACCTTGCTAATGAATTTCTACAGAATTAAAAGCAGAGCCTTTCCGACATATCAACCAGCTAGCTTGTCAACACTGAAACGAGAACAGTTTGGGTTTGCACTGTAATTTCCACCATCCTGGTCCTGCCACAAGGGGAGTTTCCAGCATTTGAATGTAACACAGAATTCCCTATGGAACTGTGGTGACTGAGGAAGGGTGTGAGTGTGCAAACACAGATGTGGCTGTGTGTGCATATTCACGTTAAACATATGTGTACATATAGGTATGTACATATACATGTATATATATTAAGTTGCTCTGTCAGGTTGTAAAACCCCCTTGTTTCATTTCAGTTCTCTGAGCATTTACAGCATACAATCATCTTTTAAAATGTCAGAGTACAGAAGATTATGTGCTAGAGAGAAAGACGGAGGAGAGG